TTTTTTTGTACAATTCCTGAAATTCTGAACTCGCGTTGAAACTTGAATGCTCGTTCAGAATTATCATTTTTTTCGATGAAATGGTTTGACAATTTGTGTCAAAATGACCTAAAATAGTTATTTAAAAAAAATGCTTCTTGAAATAAAAACCGCATAAAAAGAGGACATTTTATGAGTCAACATTTTTTTAAATTTTTGTATATTGAATTTACCTGCTTCTTTAAATCCTTATTACCTAATAATATATTTGTTTAATCCAACTTGAAACTTTTCTTCATGTAATATTAATTAAACTATATTGTTGAATTATTCAGCTTTTTTCTAGTTGGACAAAAATGTATGAAATCAAAAAAAAAAAGATGTTTTACTTTGAAACAATAGTTAATCATAAAAGTTATATAATATAATTAAATTTTATATTGTAGTGAATTGGTAAATAACAGTTATTTATTATAAATTTAAAGTTTTATGTGTAATTATAATATTTCAATAATAATTTTGTTCAATTAGTTTTAATGTCCATATTAAGCAGAACTAATTTCGCTTAAGCGGCATTTAAAATACTGAGCCTAATATTGATTGGTATATTGGCGAACATTAAAATAATTGTGTGCTTTAATTGCGTCGAGTTTTATGGCCATCATTTTGGTAATAGGTTTACCGCTCGCTGCTTGCCAGTACTCCAGTTTGGTTATTGGTGTTTTGCTCGATAACAACAACAACAACAATAATGCATCCATGAATGTGTTTATGCTTTATGCCAAAAATCCACTTCATTCTCCTCATTTCTTTAACTCCCGTTGTTCCAGGAAACGAAACGCCAGATTGCAGAAGGAAATCGAAGAGGCGTGTCGCGACACCAGAGGCGTCTCTCCAGATGATATGCGCGACAACGCAGGTCCATACTACGAATCCTCCACCCTACCAACAACTCCAGTTATGAAATTTGTAAATTTACATTATTTATTATTGCTTGTTTTCGATTAATAATAATTTGTTGTTTTGGTAGGATGCCCATGATGGCGAGGTGAATGCGGTGAAATGGAGTCCCGTGGATAGGCTCCTCGCGACCGGAGGCGCCGACAGGAAAGTCAAGTTATGGGATGTTTCCAAAGGTCAGTTATAGGGCCTCCTCCATACATCATTGTCAATAAAGCGTTTTGTGGTCGTTACGTTTCATTATTATTTATTCTTTTACTCTCTCTCATACAACTTGTAAATAATCCCGTTTTGTACTTGTACCTCTTCTATATGAAGTTTGGAACCCAATTCAACTTCTCTACTTACTTCTTTTGTATTATTACCTAACACTACACTAATACCTGTAATATTATGTAAATATCTATGTATTTTTCTTTTGTTTGTTTCTTTGGATCTTGCAGGCTCGGCCGAAAACCGCGGCATATTGCAGGGTAGTAATGCAGGTGTTATGTCTGTTGATTTCGATAATACTGGTACCTTGGTTCTTGGGGCTTCCAATGACTACGCGAGCCGTGTGTGGACTGTTTGCGATCAGCGATTAAGGGTGAGTTTTATATGCAAACCTGTGCTTTCTGTAAACCCCTTTTTTTTCGTCCTCTTTCGTTTACCGATTGGAGTTGATAAGCCTTCCGTTGCTGGACTAATGGTCCAATAACTTTTATCCTCTTCGATTTGGCTTCGTTTCCTGCCAATTTACCGCGAGATGGTTTAACCGGGCCGCCGTTCGATTTGATTGAAGCGATTCGAAATAACACGTGTTTAAACTCTTCGAATTCAGCACAATTATACACTTGGATAAACGAATTACCATGCAAACGTTTAACGCTTATTGTTATTCTTTTAACAGTACGTTAAATTTCAATGACGATTATAATTGTAACCCGAAACCTTAGAAAATGTACGCTTTTTCTTGTTTCGATTCATGAATTACCATAGAAACGTTCACTTGCAAATACTATTTAACATTTAATGGTTATTATTTTAACAGTTCGTTAAATTTCAATGACGATTATAATTGTAACCCGAAACCTTAGGAAATCTACGCTTTTTCTTGTTTCGATTCATGAATTACCATAGAAACGTTCACTTGCAACACTATTTAACACTTATTGGTAATTATTTTATCAGTTCGTTAAATTTCAATGACGGTTTAATTTTTTACCCGAAACCTTAGGAAATGTACGCTTTTTCTTGTTTCGATTCTTGAATTACCATAGAAACGTTCACTTGCAAATACTATTTAACGTTGATTGTTATTATTTTAACAGCACGTTAGATTTCAATGACTATTACATTTTTGTCTAAACCTTTACAGAATGAATGAATTTTGCACATTTGAAAAAGTATCTTAAATCTCTTAATTTAAAATGAAATTACTTTTCTTAACGTATAGAAATTGTACTGAATTATGCATTTATTTAATAAATAAATTACTAAATTTTTCTGAAAAAAAAAATATAAATCTTATTTACCCTTTTTGAAAATATTACTCTAATTATATTTTTTACAATATTGTTTAATTCTGCATTATGAAATTACTATAATTCGTACAAATTTAGGCAAAATTTTCAACTTTGTAAATATAATGAAAATATTTTGTGGTATATTTGCTCTGAAAATGCTTTTATCTATGATTAAACTAATAATAATTACAAATGTGCATGTTTACTACTAATAACCTATTTCCTAATCCAAATTCTGTTATTTTCTTTTGTGTTCTTGATGATTTATTTCCGTTTGGGACGGAAATATCCAGGTCAATAACCTTTTGTATATGTGTTTTATGTCTACGTAATAACTATTATTTCCGTTTAATATGAGCGATATGCCATTACTTGATTAATTATGAATATCGACAGGATATTAATTAAATTGGTCGATGTGATGAGTCTCTTCAATTATGTAAAGTTGTTAGTTTCCAGTTAATTGTAATTATATGTATGTACAATTTGTTGTCGGAAACATTTAAAAATTATGATTTTAAGTATTTTTTTTTCTAAAATAGATATTGATAACTTGGGAAGATAACTAAATGAAAAAAATAGAATACAATACTTTTGGCCCTTAAATCTAAATTAGATTGGATTCTCGTATAACTATAGTAATAAAGTAGGTATACTCAAAGTGCGTTTCCTTGCTGTAAAACGATAGCGAGGAGTAATGAATCGTCATTAGATAACGCTTAATTATAGGCACCTCGGTGTTGGTCCATAATTCAATCAGTGTCTGCTCTTGCTGCATTTTTTGTTCTTCTAAATACGCTATTTTTTTCTTCTTCACTTCTTGCAGCGCGTGATTTATATCAGTTTTCCTCCTTGGTAGCTTATTAAAGCTTTTCAACCCGGCTGCTTCTCTTCCTTTGGTCGGCTCGCACAGGCAGATAGACCAACACAGACACACAGTGTGTACATAGCGTATGCAAATATGAAGTGCAAAGAGAATTGAACGTTAGCCCGACATTATGTAAACGCCGGTGTGCACACAACAGGTGTCAGCGATGTAATTTACGACAACTGTGTAATCTTCATTAACTTCTGACCGGCAAATGAACGACTCGTTTATCCACCCATAAGCATATAATAAATAATGAATGGGTGCTGCTGCTCCTCCTCACTCTTCCACTCACTCACTCACTCAACCCGTTTGCCCTTTGCGCCCCCGTAATCATCATCCTCTCGACCCCCCGAGGACATAAATCCGTCCGTTACGTCGTAGATTGCACCTCTGACATTTAGAGCCCAAACATAACTTCACCTATACGATCGGAAATAAGCAAGCAAACCGCTCGTCTGGGTTGCGACAATCGTGAAAAAAGTCGCGAAGAGTATTAACTTATCTGCTGGTTTACGGCTCGCTTCCAGGAAACCATTCGGAGAGACATAAAGATCACAAGAGGGAATCTGTTATTATCTCCGTTTTAGGACCGCGGAAATTACGCATCACGATAATTAGAAGAAGAAGAAATTTATACATTGCAATAACGCGAAATTTTCGACTTTTCTTTACTTGATTTAAAACCTCGAGCAAACGGAGCTTCACACCCACTGAACCAAACAAGATTGCCTCCGCAGACACACATTTAACTGGACCTCCTTGCAAGATAAATACTATCATTTGAGGTGAACGCAGATCCAGCTTCGGGGAGGATATTTTGTTTCGTTAGAAATGTAGATCTCAAGTTAATTACAGGAGATTGCAGTTACTTAAGAGGACGATTTTCCAATTATTTTAATTGTTGCATTTTTATTATATATTTTAAAATTGTTTACTTCAATTCTCGAGAAACAAAAATTATGATTTTGTAAATTTAAAAAATCTATGACTTTTCTATTAAGAAAACTAATCAATAATTAAAAGTATTGAAATGTTGTTTATTAATAATTATCATTTGCTTTCTCCTTACGGTTATTATATTTTATTCAAGCCTGTGTGATGAAAGTTCAAGTATTTGATATCTGTTGATGATTGAAAGAGGAAACAGGGTTTGCACACGGTGTGGTGTGAATGCAGATGAAAGTGATACACCCTGTATGTCTGTACGTGCGTGCGCTTGTATTTTGTGTATGTATATAGAGATGTAGTTTTTGTGTTATATAACATGGTGTGCAAAGACAGCCAAACCGCATGCTGAGAGACACAGAGCCAGAGTGCATTTCCTGCTGGCTGCAAAGATATGCGCTGGGTTATTGTAATGTGCGGTAAACGCCGATCGGAATGAATAATTCATTCGCGTATTTGTTACAAATATATCACCCCGAGTTATCTGGGGCCAATATCTGTATGTATATATATATATACCTAGGTTTGTACGGTTACCACCCCCTCCGCCACCTCTTCCACCTTCTTCCTCCTCCACCCTCTCAGAATGCCGCGAACTGCAGCCGCCTCCAACGCCGCTCTCACATAGCACGCAGATGTAGTCCGCTGATACAGATGAATTCTGCTCTTACTCTACTCCCCGCACTCTTCCATCCTCATCACCATCTCCCACATTTCTTCCTCCCCACTTCGCTACGTCGTAAATAATCTGCTCGTTATTTATTAATTTTATATCGAGCCGCATGATATTTTCTAATTATTGTTATTGTTTTACGATCTTCGTTATTATGGTTATCTCTCGTGCTTATTAAATCACGCCGAGGCTCCTGATTTACTCGTACACAAATGCGCGCCGCCCTCCGTTACGTAATACCATCCATCCATTCATTAATATTTTCGTGTCGATTTCCGCGTCGCCTCCGAAAATTGATGCACACTTTAAATATCTTGAGATACGCAATTACCAATTCGTCTTATTTTTCGTTTTCGGCCTCTCTTCGTTGCGCACAACAAGAAGACGAAGAGATAAATCTCGCAGCGCTCGCTTCTTCTTTTTCTTCTTTCGTTTCCTGCCCAACGAGAATTACATTTATTCCCAAGATGTACGATCGTGATCATTGATTCTTTACTTTCCCTTTTTCGTATTATTTCATTGACACGACCCCATTACATCGTGCTAATAGTCTTTTCCGAGAGCAAGTTCATATCAAAGCCGGCTCAATTTCGTTTTCCTTCCTTCTTCTCGCTTTTTTTATATTATTATTATTTTCTTCTTGTTTCTACATTGGCCGCGGGTTTGCAGCGATTATCTCCAATGAAATCGAATTTACTTTACTTACTAATTTAATTGCCTTAATCATTTCACAGTCTATTGACCATTGAATTGTAACGTTACCAACGTTCATTATGGAATCCTCACTTTTTGCGTTCGCCGTTCGTTCTTCTATTTTTTTTATGTCCATCGTTGGAGAGCGAGCTTGTATCAAAGCCGGCTTTGTTTTATGTTATTTACAGCCGCCTCTGATCTTAAAGGATACGCTGTTTATACACAACGTCTCTGCTTTACACTTGTTCACATTTGATCCATTCTTAAGAACATTAAGTTTACATTATACTTTTTTTAAAGACGTTTTGTATTGAGATACCTTTAAAAGATTTCTTCTACAAAAACGAATATATACAACAGAAAATATTCAATTGCAATAAGTTTACAAAGTTTAAATTCTTATGGAATTTTCATCGATTTTTATAATTTTAATTAATATTTACAAACTTTAATGAAATCTGTAACTAAATAATATTACTTTTTGTTTTGAACTTTCAAAATGAGTAATACTAATTAAATATCTTAAATAGTTATATTTTAAACTTTAATATTTAAAAAAAAAAGTTTTAATATAAATCTAAATTCTGAAAATTAATTTACGGCTGAATTTTCTTTGAACGTTACATAAACCACCTTCAATTAAGTTTATTAATTCAAATCCAATTACACTGAATCCCATCTACCGTAAATCCAGTAAACTTTGCAGACGTGCATTACTTTTTTTTTCTTCCTTGACCGTCTCAACATTTTTTTTTTATATCTATTTTTTCTTCATCTTTTCTTCAATCGTCTATAAACCGTATTTCATTATATCCCATGGATTGTGTATATTAGATATATATGATTAATATCGCGCTTCAGCCGTTTTCTTACGGTTTTCTCCTCCGCTCCGCATTTTTTTCCCTTCGGTCATAGACTGTTACGGAATCGGATCCAATAAGTCGGATAAATAAAATGGTCTGCCCCTTTATTTATTTTTTTCCCCTTCTCTTTCTCTTCGTCGTTCAAGGGAAAATTGTATAAATTTTTTACGTCCGTTAAGGCGAAGCTGGAGGGATCATCCCTGTTCAATAAGGAGAGAGAGAGAGAGGAGAGACGGTTCTTCCTATTTTTTAGTCTTAACGCAGACAATATGCTTT